TGGGTCGGGTGTGGCCAAGAGGTTAGCGTCACCGAACTGTGAATTCTAAAGTTCCTTCTTCTCAATTTATTGCTGCTAGAAATGCCGCCTGTAATTTTGGGGCCGTGGATGCTCTATAAGAGGGATAGTCAAATCCCACTATTCGGGCAAACTAGACCATACCAAAAGTGAGAAGTTGGTGTTGTTGACTAGCTGTTTTGGTTTTAGTTTATCAGTATTAAATTAAGGACAGCTATGGATAGGTAGCCATTGTGACAAAGATTCTAACAAACAAGCTAACAACCTGATAATTATAAATCATGAGTATATACAATGAGCATGTACTATTCTGAAAACTAAAATTCGAGACGAAGAACTCTCAGAGATGATAATATTGACAGAATTGTCATAAGCTGTTTAATACAGTTACTAGTTTTTGGCAAAGCTTATTTCTGTGTAAGTTACACAAATAACGCTTTCTTACTGATATTTCTATCCAGTTTTTCTTCAGAAGGTCTAACGCGGCCCAATGGCTAGCTGCCAGACTGCGTACTTGAGATTCCGTGGTTCATGTTCCTTATCTCCAAAAATAAATAAATAAATAAAAATTCACGCTCTGCACTCTCTGGCTGTGAATACGTTATAAGAGCGACAGATCCATAATACTATTCGGTCTGACAAAAGTATTCCAAGAATTAGCGGTGGATGGTGTTGACTAGCTGCCTCCCTCTAGTCTATCAGTTCAAAATTTGGGACGGCGAGCGAAGGCATTCATTGTGTAGCTTTGGTGAAATCCAACAAAGAAACCCCTTTAGATATTGCTTATCACAACGTTTCCGAGTTCTACTCACCTCAGTGTTTTAGGGACTTTACAATATATTGACGTATATAAAGATAATTTCAATTAATATGATTGGTTATCGTGGTTATAGTCACTTTTGGTATTATACTACTAAGCTAAGGATCACCATTTTCTAGTAAGAGATTTATTAGGTAAAACTATTTTTTGAAATAATATTTGTGCAGGTGCTTTGTTTGACATTTCGCCTGCAATAATCAAGTATTTTTCAAATTATGTGGTCAAGCATAATCGCCACAATATAGCAGAAAGTGGGCCACCCCTGTTCTTGAAATTTTCAAACTATTAGAAGCACTTTGTGGTTCTTTCATTAGACAGTTGTAGACCATTCCAAAACTTCCAAGATGTTTTTTTAGCTTTACTGCTTCATCCAGTGCATTTTGATGCCACGCAGACGTCATCTGAACATGCTGGAGCTCTCAAGAGGAATAGGGGTGCTCCAAGGAGGGTTGTCCCAGAGAAGGGTTCCTACTAGGAGACGGGAAAAGACTGGAGACAGGAAGAGTGGACAGAAGACACGGTGGTGGTCGGCAAAGGGCAACAACACATCAGCAAGTAGAAATCGGACTTTGAATGCTACAAATTTTCAGAGAAACCTCATAAAACCTCCCGGAGTTAGTGTATCCAGCCAGATAGTGAGAAACAAACTTCATGCAGCCGGCTTGAGAGTAAGAAGACAAGCAATACTAGTTCCAATGAAAGTCAGACATCGACAGCATAGGCTTGAATGGTGCAAAGAACATTTGAACTGGACACAGGCTTGTTGATCAAATGTTCTCTTCACAGACAAGTCCAGATACTTCCTCGGCTATCATGAGGGACGCACTCAAGTGTGGAGACGACCTAATGAGAGATGTGCAGATGTAAATGTGATAGAACATGACTGGTATGGAGGTGGGACGGTGATGGTTTGGGGTGGTATCAGTCTCAGTGGTTATACAAACTGGTACATCATCCAAGATGGCGTTTTGAACAGAGAATGGTACAGAGATAAGATCCTGGAGGATTTTGTGTGCCACACGCAGGAGCCATAGGTCCAGATTTCAATTTAATGGATGACAGTACAAGACCACAAAGGGTCAAGCTGATGAATCAGTACCTGAAGGACGAGGGAATGGATTGGCCAACATGTTCACCTGATCTTAATCTTATTGAACACGCTTAGGACATACTGCAAACAGCAGTATCAGCTCGCACAGTGCAATCTAGCAGCCTGGAGGAATCGCCCTAGCCCAATAATGGAATAATATACCCCAACAGACATTCACCAGGCTGATCTAGTGCATGAGAGTACGCTGTCATACTGTCATTAATGCGAGAGAAGGACATACCCGGTATTAAGCTGAAAACAGATCACCGTTTGCTGAATATGTGGACACTTTGACATTTTCAATATTAATCTTCATTTTGGGAGTAACCAAATTAATATTGTTATCCTGTTTTTATTTTGGTCGAGATCAATAAAACTCTTGTTGCCTATGGCAAATAAACACTTTTACATTAGATTTTGCTTAAGTCGTTTAATATTCCTTGAGATATGGAAAAATTAGTCTGTGGTATTTAGGAAAATTTAAGTAGTATATTATAATTTTGACACTTATGAGGATTATTTTGGATTAGCTCAGTATATGAGTTTAGGACTGACCCAGGTCTTCTAAAATGATCGAACATCGCAAAAATGCCCAATTGTTGACTTTGCATCCTGATCATTTTAGGCTTTTAGTTTTCTTGTTTATTGACAGTATATACTTTGGTCAGTTTGCTGCATAGATTTGATTTGTAATTTTTTTGGTTCTGATATGTACGGGTTATTTGTGTTTGTTTTATTGCAAAACCACATTGGGCTATCTGCTATGTCCACCGCTGGGAATCGAACCTCGGATTTTAGCGTTGCAAGTTCTTAGACTTACCGCTGTCCCATTGGTGGACGGTCTGTAAAATTAGCTTGATTCTGATCACATGTTATTCTTCTGATTTAAATTGTGATAAGTTATCAAAATCTTAAAAAAAAACTACAGCTTCAACAGGATCAATCGTCTTAAACCTTCTAGTACAATTCTTTATCGGTTACTTCAAAGTATAAAACACTTTTCGAGATTGAATATGTCTGTTCGTATGACTGCATTCCAACCCAGAGCAAAAGAAGCTAAATACAAAACCGTTTTTTTTAATAAAATATGAGCTTTGACACAATCTTATTAAAAGAAAAATAAAGTACGATTCATGCAAGTAAATGTTAAAAAATAGTATTTTTTTCACACCATTAACCCTAATTTTGCTTACAATTGTTTTTGTGAAAAAAAAAATCAATATGCGATCTCATGTCCTCTTTATTAACACAAAATATCGCTGGAACTGATTATTCTGATATAACCTTAAAAACATTATATTGCAATATTCCCTGTAGTAGCGTATAGTGTTTAGTAAGTTGCTGTTTGCTGAATTTTACGCAAAGCTACTCGAAAGGCTAACTTTAAAATTGAACAACTATAAGGAAGACAATTAGTCAACGCCATCCACAGCAACTCATGGGTTATTCTAATCGAATAGTAGGATTTGACTCTCCCTCTTGTTACACACCCATGACCTAAAAGTGCAGAGCGTGATTGTTTTTTCGGCGCTAACGATGCGTGAACCATAAAACCTCGCATCCACAATCCAACACACTGACCTTTGAGTTACACTCGCCCATAACTTTTTGTTTTGTTATAAAGCACAAAGCTGTGCAATGTGTTATCTGTGCTGTACCTACCGTGAGTTTCAAAACTCGTTTTTTAGTTTTATTAGTCCTGAACCACGGAGCCACCAGAGGGAGCAACTTGTTTGTATTTATTGTTTAATAGAACCAAAGTACTGTTCTCTTTCAACAAAAACGAAAGAAGTCCATTATTGATCAGTCCGTATATACAACAACATCCATTATTGATCAGTCCGTATATACAACAACATAGATCATGCGTTCGAATTCAGCTTAAAGTTTTGATATTCCACAAAAACTTTAACAATTATATTGTTATTTTGTTTGAAGTTAAGCACAAAGCTAAGACAATGGGTATCAAAACCCGGTTCCTAGCGTTGCAAGTCCGCAGACATACCGCTGTGCTACTGGGGGCTGTTAGTTTGGTAACCCCACATTTATTTAAGCGAGTAAAATCTAAATAGAGTTAACGCTTCAATAAACCGGATAAATATAACCGCGTTATATTTCTTTCAACATCTATCCCGAGTTTGATTCCTCGTGGTAGACAGAGCGTAGATGACCTATTCTGTAGCTTTGCGCGAAACAAAATTCTAATATTTATCATAACTATCGCAATTAAACCTAGAAAATGGGCAGTTGTTGAAAAATTTTAATAATATTTGATATTTCACTATATAGTATAAAGTATTTTAATATCGTTATATTTGATATTTAATTACTTTATATTTAGTACTATAATACTTGATATTATAATAGATGATACTTGAAATTTTAATACTTGGTATTTGGTATCTTGATAGCGTCATATTTAAGTTTGTTTCTTTGTTGCTAAGCGCAAACCTACTCAATAGGCTATCTGTATTGTACGATGCCCACCAAAGGTATCTAAGTCCGAATTTTAGCGTTGTAAGCCATGAGACTTAATACTGAGACACTGACGGCTATCATATTTAACATTTAAATGACTTCATGCTTGTTACTTTAATACTCAAGTTTGGTATTTTAAAAACTTAATATTTGGTATTTTAATATTTTCATATTTGGAATTTTATTATCTTCATATTTTAATATTCGATATTTGGCATTTTAATGTTTGATATTTGGTATTTTAATATCATCATATTTGGTATTTTAATATCTTCATATTTGGCATTTTAATGTTTGATATTTGGAAGTTTAATATCTCAATACTTTATATTTGATATTTTAGTACTTAATATTTGGTATTTTAATATCATCATATTTGGTATTTTAATATCTTCATATTTGGCATTTTAATGTTTGATATTTGGAAGTTTAATATCTCAATACTTTATATTTGATATTTTAGTACTTAATATTTGGTATTTAAATATTTAATAATAATAATAATAAATTTAAAACTTGCTCAATTACAAAGGAAGATTCTTAATAAGATGTTGCTCATGTAATTTATATATATAGTGAACACTCTCACTCTCGTTCAAACTGAAAGAAAATATTGTTTATTCCAATTTTGTATAGCTAGTGGTTCACATGATTTAGTAGATATAACAATAAATATAGGGTATTGGATCACAGAGGGACAAGAAAAATCCCGAGAATGAAAAGTGTATTTACAGAAAGCTTTGTTGTTTCTCGAACTTCTCAATATGAAAACCTGTAATGAAGCACCTTTTAGGCATTTCACGCGCTATGTTTACAAAAGAATGTAAACAAAGCTTACACATTTTGTGCAGTGAACAACAATGTATATAATACTTTAGACAAAACAACAATATGTCATTTTACAGCACAATAATTTATTTAATAGTTGTTCCCAAAAACACATTCGTGATTCTCCTTTACATGCTCTCGTCAGATAATCGTGGCTGGAATCCACTAATCGGTTGATCTGTTATCCAGTTTGATGGGTTTCTTTTAAGACACTTAAGAAAAAATCAATATTTCTTCTAGCTTAGCAACAATATCTTTCTATTTAGCCGTCTGTTATCGCTTTAGTAGCGCTTCCGGTTATTATCCCCCGACTACATCTTTCACAGTGTAGTTCGGATTTTTGGTTGCTAGGTGTTTGTATCTTGTTGTTACCCGTAAGAAACTGCACATTTTTCTGACTCAGGTTCCAAAGAAACTGCACTACTTATAATAACACTGATCGCTCAATAGTTGTTTTCCATTGGAAGTCGTATAATTGGAATTCCTGCTGCATGAGCCACTTGTGGCTGATGACGACTGAATGACTTGTGACGACTATGACAATCGTCTTCGACTGAGTATCGTTCTTCATCACTTTCGAAAGGTTCTTCTTCTATACTAAGCTGAGGAGAAAGTATTTTGCGGGACATCCTAGGACTAGTGTTACTCTGGTCTCGAGAGCGAGAGTAATGATGGTGAATACGAAAATGCCCATGTAGAAACCTCGATGAAACATGGAAGTCTGCTTCATATACTGGGTCGCTTCGGGCGAACTCACGGAATAGAGCGTCACTTTTCTCGTCAACGCTGTAATCACGCATAAGAAATCTGTCAAAATGCAGCCTGTTCGATCGGAAAAAGCGACGAAACACCGACGATTTTTCTCGAACATCTTGTCGGCTTCCTGAAACTGACTGAGAGTCAGATAATGATTCACTGCGCCATTGCAAAGCGCCATCACTTAGCGTCTCTGGATCATGACGACTCTTTAAATACTGTCTTCTTTTTTTAAAGGCACTCTTAGTCTTCTTCCGATCAGTTTGAACCCAAGTAGCTGAATCTTTATGGAAAGCAAACATGTGTTCAATGCTTGGTACGAGCTTTCGTTTTACCTGCTCATCTGATGTAGTTTCTAAAGGCTCTGCAGGTGTTTTTATCACACCAAGCGCACCTTCATCGTGAACGGAACAAAGAACTGTAATCGTATCTTCGTCAATGGCAGGTTGAATTTGTTTCCGGCTTAGCTTGGGAGGCTTTCCGTTTCCATCAACAGACATGGACTTATAACCACTGTCCGCCTTCATCTGTTGCAACATGTGCGACTGGCCATCTCCTGTACTATCAGTGTTGTCGGTGGTTGTGGAATCTAAAGATGTGGTATGTCCTTCTACTCTACTGGCATCAGTAGAAGATCCTTCAGTCTCCATACTATCCAAACTATTATCTGTGCTTGTAGTCGCAGGTTGTGTAGGTTCTGATGCATATCTTCTTTGGAGGCGTCTAGTGAATAGGTTTTTATAGCTGTGTCTTCTAGATTCGTATGAAGGAGGTTGCAATAGATTATTGGTTATTCTAATATGATCTTCTAAAACTGTGCCACAACTTTCATCAGTGAGAACAAAATCTGCATTTGACTCAAACGATATAGCCTGTGTAATAGCTTGGTCCAGATCTGGTGATTTCTCCGTAGTGTCTGGCGATTGTTCTTCTCCTAGATCAGTTTTATATTTTTCATAATTTTCATGATTCTCTTGTGAAAATCTATTTTCGCTTTCGGTTGTACATCGGTTCTTTTCTTGAAGTTCCACTTTTTCTCTGAAATGAAACGACTCCTCTTCTTGTTTTTCTGGTAATGTTTCTTCTTTTTGAGACAGAAATGTGCAATTTTCTTCATCTTCACTATAAACCTTTGAGCATTTCAGAAGCTTTTCTTCTTTATCGTACTCATCCAAACAACAAATATCTTTTAGGTCGTCATCTCCACTGATTTGTAAGATGTCATGAAGTTCTTCTTCCTCTTCAAAAGTGGCTCGAAGCTCCCAGAGTTCTCTATACTGTTGACGTTCAAGTTCGTATTCTTCTTCGACTAATTCTTCCTCTTTCACTTCATTGCTGTCTGGAGAGGAAATTACTATCGTTTCTTCTCGCACGTCCTCCTTACTTCCTGTGTCATTGTAACGAATCTTGTATATTTCTGAACTTTCTTGCTCTGGAGTAGAGATGTCTGAATGAATTAAAAACGCTTTACGATTTTCCTCCTGATATAGTTCCAGTTTTTGTTCTAGAATTCCAAGTTCAGTGCTACAGGCTTCACGCAATGGCTTTGGAACCTCCTTCCAGCCTTCCCCATCTTGTACAACCTCCAAGCTAGAGACTGACCCTTTTCGATGGTTTGGCTCTTTGCAAACTTGAAGGTACGAAGGGCCAGTCTCTTCTAGTTCTACATCGTAAACGATGGGTTGTTGATAAAGTTCTGGGGTATTATTATCTTTTTCAATATCTGTAGTAACGACTGTTTGTTGGCACGACTCGGCGATTCGTAAGTATTCTTCAATGTTTACAGCGTGGATGTTAGTCAAAAAGGTTTGCGAAGAAGCTTCTTTAGCATCGACACTTTTGCCCATTGGCTCGGGTGCTGTGATTGTTCTAGTACTACTTGATTCTAGTGACGAATGGGAATGATCACATTGTAAAGATTCTTGTTCTTTTTTTGTCAAGGATACGCCACCTGGCGAACTTTCACTGGCTACACGCACATGTTGTCCTTCACGATGATGCACCACCACCGTTACATTAGTTAGACTAGTTCCTGCTAGGATTTCATCAGGAAAGTGTGTTTTCAAACCATTAGATTCACTAATTTCATTAGATGGCAAACTTTCACAAAGCACTGAATGATCTGATCCAGTTAGTTGACGTTGAAATATGGTTTCAGCTTCTTCATCGTCAGATATGCAGAGTGAAGCTTGTCTTTGGATACCAGACGATCTGCGAGAGACGCTTGAAACAGACGTGCTTTCTCTTGGGCCAGAGTAACTATAGTAAACGAAAAACAAGCCTTTGTATAGAATATCTTAAAGATTTTTCCCTTCATTTTGAGTGTTTTGGTGTTGTTTCTTTTTACCTGTTTAAAACTATAACAATTATAAACTCCATTTTAAGCCAGTCACAAATGTAGAACACAACTGCAATGGAAAACCATAAACGTAGAAAAGGAATTGTTGTTGTGCTTTATTATATATAAGAGGCTATATATTACATCTGTTTATCATTTCTATAATACTAACTGAACGAAAGTGAAATTTATTAGTACTGAAAACACCATTAAAACAGGATAGAATCAGTATTTTGCTTTCATGAATATGGGATCAAGTTTCACCTTTTTTCGAAAGGTTTATCTTGTTCAAACGCATCATAAACATTAGGTCGTCAGGAAATTAATGTCACTTTTTTTTTAGATGAAAAACCCGAACAACTTATATATTGTTTGTTTGTTTTGCATTTCGCGCAAAGCTACACGAGGGCTATCTGCGCTAGCCGTCCCTAATTTAGCAGTGTAAGACTAGA